CACAATACGTCTCGCTTTGATACAATTCTACTCTATACTATTGGTGATGCCCAATAGTCAAGGACATAGTTATACTTAGAATACGCACAATATTAGGGAAGACCGGATATAGACAATTGAGTTTCAAGCTGTCATATAGATAATTTTGAAAAACAGAACAGTGAACTATGAAAGAAGGAAACGGGCGAGTGCAGGGGTTTCATTACTATCCAAGAATGTGTTTTAACTTTAAAAGTAATTATCTGACTTAATTATTAGCAATTTCTTATAACTRAATCTGCTTTCACGCCCCTCGTTTCGTTTTTAACTCAAATGTCCGACCTATTTTTGTAGAGAAAATTACAAACCACGCTGTCTTGACGATCGGCTATGGCAACGAGACAGGCACTTCTTATTGGCTGATTCAAAACTCGTGGGGACCCCTGTGGGGAGATGGTGGTTACATCAAAATAGCAAGCAAGAATGATATCTGCGGTACGACAAGCGGTTCCCTGATAGCGATCAAAAAGAGTAAAGATGTTAAAGAATTCCCTTTCAAATACCTAAAGAAGATACCATGGAAGGATGAAAGACTTATTACAGACAAGGAAATGATGGAACCATTTCCCTTTACATGACAAGCTACAAAACTCATTTATATTAAAAGATTGCTATGTGAATTATACGCCTATAAACTGCAGCTTAGGCGAAATGTTTATTCACAATAAAAAGTTTTTTTGAAATAGCAATGCATGAAATCAAATTGCAAATGTTTGTTCATTGCAGTATAGTTTCAATCACTTTATGGATCCTAGGGAAAAAGAGTGTATCTGCTGCTGTGAAGGGAAATTACGGGATAGGAGTGTCGATTAAAAGAGGGAGTACAGGGTTCAATCACGTCAATATCTACACGARAAAACTCACAATCATTGTCTTAATGAAATTTTATTTTATAAAAATATAGTTACATGAATAAAAATGAATAATTTCAAATAAAAAATATAATTATGTACACAACAATTTCGATTCCTAAGTTATTACTTAAGACCGAGAAGGGGAACACCCCTTTGAAGACCTACCGGCGTCAACCTTCGTTTTTAGAAAAGTCTGGAGGTGTCCAGAAATCAATATGTGATCTTTTGTAGTCCAAGGGTGATATCATYATGTCATTTTCGTTTATCTGATCCTTAACTATCGTCTTGTTCATGCGTAAAAAAGGGAATTCTTCTCCATGATATGAACCAGTTGTGTTAAACTGAACAAAGATAGGCTCATTTGTCAATATTCCACACATGTTGTTTTTTCTTGCGATTTTTATAAATCCCTTGTCACCCCAAAGTTTTCCCCAAGAATTCTTTATCAACCAGTAAGGTTTATCGTTTTCAACTCCATATCCAACTACAACTACACCATGGTTTGTCTGGGGTCCTGCGAAAAACAGACGTATACGTACAATTTAGAAGTATCAGAGTTGCCGCTTGGCTACTGTTGCTTCATGCATGTTGCTCCAGGATACGTCTAGACCGTCTAGACTCATTTTTGAGGAACTTATYAATATTAATATAACCTGTCGTTAAATAGTTTATGGAAGAGATATATAGATTGTTAGAGCTCAATATATGTATTCTGAATTATTAGAACATTATTAAATAGTGCTATCAGATCAGAAGAGCGTTGATTTCAAAGATACACAAAAATTGTTAAACTAATAGTATCTAGTTAAGTTAATCTATTCAGTCATCAACTAAAAATTCTACATTGAAAAAATGGCTATAATACTATCATATCAGATTCACCAATTCACCAATTAATTAAACTTAGTTTATACGTACTGCATTTTGGATCGTCCAGAACCCCTGAGCTGTAAAACTTAAATGCTTTTCTGTTGACATTAACTGCTATCGATGCAGGTCCATACCATGCTATTCCTAACCGTAGGGCTTCTTSGTCTAGTTTAGGTACTGTCATCACGCGGGAAAAATACTCAGTTGTGCAGTTGTCTTTCTCTGCGCAATGACAATAGCCTTCCTATTAGAGCAAGAAACATAAAAAAAATTAAAAAACAAAAACAAAAAAAATAAAAAAAAAGATCAAGAAACATCGCATTAGATGCGTTACGGATATTAACAGTTGAGAAAGGATGAATTAAGATATTTCTTTAGGATAAGCTAATCAATCATTGATGATATACAAGGTTAAAAAATCAAAATCGTCAACAAAACTTTTTTTTAACCTGTGATAAATAACGGCCATATGATTTCGCTGTTGTGACGCCAAATTTTTTCGCCCACTCAAGAGCGCGCCATGAGAAACCTCCTCGGCAACCGTAGTTCCCAARCCCCCACGAACAATCAAGGAGGCGCTGCTCAGAAAAATCTTCTAATTTTCCTGTCTTTGGAAAACAACAGTTGATAATAATAAGGCTTTGATAAAAGATCAATTGTATGAAATGGGTTCCCTGTGTTCCATTATACCTGGATTGCGTATGCACCTTCAATAGCTCCCATGGCAGAAAACGTCCAACAGGAACCGCAATGCCCCTGTGCTTTGGGCGGAACCACAGCTCCTAAAAATAAGATGAGAAGTACTTCTATATGTAGMCTATTTTAGAGAAATACAGTCAAATAATAAGCGAAGGTGAGAGAGAGCGGAATTGTTTGGTGAGCTAAAACACTAAGGAGGCCCATCACATACCGTAAACTCTCCAATCAAGATCCGTGGGGGGTGGTTTGTGGGGAATACTAAAGCGCACTTCTGGTATTATTTGYTTTTTGAGCTGTTCATCGCCTCCACTAGGGTCAATTAGCAATCCTTTGTACTCTTCAAACTCGTCGTCTGATAAATCTGCTAGCTCGTTGGAATCGAGGGAATAATTGAGACCGGCGCGGTTTTGTGCACGTATAAACCTGAAACAAGAACAACTAACTTAACAACCGACTATGTCACATTACAAAACTAATTGTTATATTTGGACTTCAAAACTATTGAGTGACCTTGAAAGGAGAATAAATGTGGGCAACGCGAGGCCAATCAGAAACTTTTCAAATCCATCAGGTATACAAACGTTTTATCGAACAGGACGCTATCAACGGACTGCGTAACTAGACCGAAAGGAAGTATGTGTAAATTTACATACACTTCTTCAACAAAGGAGACTGAAATCTCATGCATGAATGCCTTTACATTACGCGCAAAGACAGTAATAGTCAAAATTAATCGTAATTTGTCAACTGGGGTGTTCCTCCTTAGTTTTGGAAAGTGTTCAAACGTTGACAGATTTCTATTCAATCATGCTCTTTTCTGTCTAGACGCACAGGATGAGATGGACAATCTTGACACGTGTAGTCAAATTTCTGTAATACACGTATGGAATATGAATAGAAGTCMCTGTAACCTCTGATATCTCACCTCATATTGTGCCTAAAGATATGTTTTTTTCTCTCGTGTTCCGTGTCGTTCATAAGTGGTTTGTTGTGTTTTTCTTTGAAATGCTGGTAAAGCTCTTCGACGTCAACATCGTCAAAGTTTTCATGCATAAACTCTGCCATAGGATTGAAATACAGCTTGGACTTCTGCTTACTCAAATTCTTTTCACAATAGTTTCCTAGTAAAGAAAATTATTAGATTTCTAAAATACAAGAGCACACGTAAACTATACAAAGATGAAAAAAGACGCAAAAAGATTTAGGAACTTCTCAAAACTAAACTTGCATCCAGTCCGTTACTCTTTTGTTGCGATTTCAATGAATCATTCGTTGCTTAACACAGTTAATCTCAATKCTGACACTAATACTGAAGCAAATCTCCAAACCAAATTGATTTTACATAGTATTTTGCATTTATTCTTTGGTTCGTTGGCCAAAAAACGGAACACACCCCTCCAGTTTTTCCTGGATTCAGTTATAAGAATCTAATGCGGTGAGCAGTTCTGATTGGAGTTTGCAAGATACATGTAAATTCATTGTAAATGAGGTAAGTTGCGTATTACTATTACTATTATTATTTCATACTTGATTCAGTTTTCTTTGTTATTCATAGTGTT